GTGGTTAAAATCTAATATAATTATAAAAAGCTTTAAATGTGTCGTTATCGTCCAAATGTCATTCAAGGTCTTTGCTAGTTGTGTTGTTATTTAATTGGTTGTCATCCTCAAGTGTAGTTAGATCTTAAAAATTTAGAAATAAATTTTCTTAATAAAACTGACGGTTGATTTTGAATATGAATTGTTTGTTCTTTATTAGAGACAAACATGTGTTAAGTAATGTTACAGTTATTAATTAAGAGCATACTATGTGCTTTTTACTGTATGTTAGTAGTGCCGGGTGTGAAATAATATGTGTCATACGGGTAGCATATGAAATACTTATGATTAACTGTACTAAATGCATAGAAGCAAAACAATGAAAATATAATTGACCTATATTGCAAATAAATACTGCCTGAAACAGGGCATAGAACAATAGCAGGTTTTTAAAGGAATGAAAATAATAGCAATCATCGAACTTAATGGGACTCTAAAATATACTTACTCAAACGTAAACGTCGTGTGTTTTGACATTAATTCATGTATTTCAGTTTCATAGTAATAAAAATTTGTATCACTGATCAACATCATGTAATTTTTTAACTTGACGTCAGCTTAACATTTCGTATTAGCTTATAAAACATGGTCAATTTGATGCACTCAAATTGCATAAGTAGGTGCAGCCAATAAATGAGACTTAGATTTTTATTTATATGTTCTGTCCTCATTGAATCTGATATACAGAATACATTTTTATTTGCAATAATTGTATATTTCTAATATGCCGTAGAAATAAACTTGAAATGAAATACGCAAATATACAGTAATAAAAGACTTCTGTCAAAGCGCTTTAAATAACACCTTAGTTTAAAATAAGCATTTCGGAAAACCACATTTGTTAACAAATCACTATTAATATTACTATAATTATTATTCTTAGAATTCTTCATCTTATAAAAATAATTGATAATGATAATTATAATAATACTTATAATATTTATTATTATCATTATTATTATTATTATTATTATTATTATCATTATTATCACCATCATTTCCTCATCATTATCGTCATCATCGTCGTCATCATCATCATCATTAATATTATTATAATAACAAAAATAGCATGCTATCTTTCCTTCTTATCTACTGTACTTCATTAAACCACTGTAAACCTTAATTGTTATTTATACATGTGTTTTTGCACTTAAACTAATAGAAACTTCAAACAGGAACAGCGATAAAAATAACTTACAAGTAATTCAGTATTTACTAACCTGTGACAATCACTTCAATACCTTAACGGTTACGTCAATTATCTAATAATGCTACCGTAATAAATGCCAGTTCTGTTTACCTTATTATTGGTTTAATTTGTATTAGGTAAATTATTCTATTACATAACTTAAGAGCACGCCCAAACGTCGCCGTCAATACGCTAGCCAGTTCGTCATTTTTCGTGGAAAAATAAACACTTTCATGGAAATATTGTAATGAGATAGTAACCGTATGCCTTAATTCATTGCTTTCAATTTATTGAACAAACAAATATATTGTTTTACTTAACATGGTATAGAATTGCACAATTCTGATTTACTTTTGCACAATTCCTGTGGTATTTGCACGATTCCTATGTTATTTTCAAATTCGTATATAACTAGATATACACGGTGTTTTTGCACGAACAAACTCATTATATTTTTATAGAAGTTTTTGCCTCACGAAATATGTTTAATTGATTTGTCCATCTTTCAATGACGACAAAATCATTCACAATTTTAAGAACTTTATATAAACTAGTATATGATTAAGAACTTTATATAAACTAGTATATGATATTATTATATATTATATGTATTATATATTATTATATTCTGGCTGAGAAGTTGTTAGAGCAGACCATGATCTGACGGTACGGCACTGGTGTCCCGGCTGATCTTGGTCTGCACTTCTCGCATGCGTTGATTTTGTTGCAACCAGTAGGTTAATGATAAATGGTGTTACATTAAGCATGCCAAACTATCCTAAACGTAACGTGTGAATATAATATGAGCCGTGTCACGACAAAACCAACATAATGTGTTTGCGACCAGCATGGATCCAGACCAGCCTGCGCATCCGCGCAGTCTGACCAGGATCCATGCTGTTCGCTTTAAAACCCTATTACAAGTAGAGAACCTGATAGCGATCAGCATGGATCCTGATCAGACTGTGTGGATGCGCAGGCTGGTCTGGATCCATGCTGGTCGCAAACCCATTATGTTGGTTTTGTCGTGACACGGCTCATATGACTTCTATCTGTCATGGATTGAAACTGGTAACAACTTCAAAATGGTATGTCATATTATTGCGCGTCGCGTTATCATAAGTTTAATCATATAATAACTAAATCCCCCCCCCCCCCCAAAAAAAAAAATAAATAAAAAAAAAAAAATAAATATGGTTAGCTAAGTTACTTTTCGTATGGAAATACATAATGCTTTGTTCCTTTTCAATGTCAGATATTAATGCGTAATACTTCATTCTTTGAATATGACTTCCTTGTTAAGATTTTTCCATCGATTATAAATCTAATGTACTTGAATTTACTTCCTTGACTTGTTCTTAACAATTATTATAATTTAATATGATTAAATAAACATATGTGTGTTGCATATTTATGAGAGAAATAAGTAAAATAATATTTCATTTGATGTAACATTAGAGTCAATTTCATCAATCCTTTTCACTTCTTATCGAATAGTTTTAATGGTGCGGTTAACTTAAACCCCATAGGATAGAAACCAGTATTCGCGTGATTGATTCACATAAAACGACATGGTTGTTTTAACTTGAAACTATTTTAAGTGCACATTTAAATAAATACGTTCACCTAAATGCCCTTCTTAACAATTTTGATGACCTCATCGCTTTCAACCAATGGGTAAATTGGAGCATTAGATTGTTTGTATGTGCGTTAACACCTTTCAGGATAGTTATTGCAAAGCCATACACATGCATTTGTGGTAATAATTCTATACGATACAAAGTTCGTTATGCTCGTTATTTTAAATGCCAATATTATTCAACTCTTATGCATTTAGATCGACACTTATACATTTTTCTTACAAAGTGATAATAGAACATATCTGACTAAAATAAGATATGAAACATTTTGCACAAACATTTTTGCATAAATTAATGCATTTTAATTAAGTTTTATATATTTAAATTGTCCTGCAATCCATATCCATAAAAGACCAACAATAATTCAGTTATTTTGATAAGTCATGGCATTCTTCTTTAAAGAAACTGAATTGATAAACTCAACATAATTATATTTCTTCTTTGCAATATAGTTTTAACATTCAAACTGTTTGATTTACATGTATTGATTTTCCCGGTAAAAGCATAACCTGATGTTGTAAATATTGGAACAGGAAAAAGAAGCATAAATAAAATAAAATAAAAACTTGTTAATTAACAAATTTCGAAACTAAATTGAAATCACAATTTAATGTTTCTTTGTATTTTACAGACAATCCAGCCTTACGTTTTATACCTTGCGATTAGTTGACAATAAACATATCTTGTTAATTACCAAGTTATTTGAAAATGAAATATGTTTTACTTTTAAATCACTGTAATAATATTGTTAACTATATGATTTTCATTCCTAATATATATGAAGTCAAACCATTACCATCAACAATTTGACGTTCAATTATATCATGCAACTTACACAGGATTAAAATTCCAGAATTTATTGCAATCCGGCAGTAAAAGGTTAACTACTGTGTATCGAATTATTCATTATATCTTTACTAGTTAAAGAAACAAACAAAGGACATAAATCAGCATGTATCATTGTTATAATAGCAACATTTGATTTTTGTTATAATTTAGATATTGAAAAATAACGAAATGTATTAAAAAAGACATTTCTAACTCGACACGCCAAACTTGGAATCGTTGAAGGCTCGGTTTGATGGTCGGCAGCTAAAAATGCAGCAAAATTTCCGTCCACTGCCCCTATCAGTGGCTTAAGAAAAGACAAATATTTGAGTTGAACTGATGCATGTTCAACTTAGAGTATATATACATTGTACAATAAACTAATGATTTAGTTTTGCAAATTAAATTGTTTTCCTCGTTTAGGGCTACACACATATTGTTTTTAATGATATATATATACACCATGTTTTACAATGAATGGTATTTAAAGTCGCATTGATGGTTAATTTATATCCGGGAACTTCTGCATGTACATATAAATGTTTGTAGTCCTAAACGAGGAAAAAAATTACAAACTAAATCAAGCATAAGTTTAATGTACAATTTTGAATTCAACTTATTGAGATGCATTGATGTTAATGCTTTCATCATACCAATGTAAAACTAGAATGCAATAACACTGATAGTTTGGCCATAAAGCACTCTTAAATATTCTAGACCTAAAACACAATTAGGTTGTTATACCTTCATATACACATTATTACTTTCATGAACTTTATCGTTCATTGACGACAAACCGTTCAATTAAATGCTGACCCTTCAATGCTCACGTATGTTTGTGTAGCTTTATTATCAACAGTTTTTTTAAGCTTTAGGAAAAATGTATTTAACTTGAAATCACTTCACTGGATGAGCAACATCGCAATAAAAGAAGCCTTTACTCTCTCCGTAGTATTTGCATTTCAAAAATTAAATGTTTAAACCTTATTTGTTTTGTATATATTTCTGACTTCATAATTCATTTTTCGTTTTTGTTTGTTTGCCCGGTAACATTTAAATAATTTTTAAACATATAAATTTCCTAAAGTTAAACAACTTTACCTAAGTTTATTATTTCAGATGTTCACTAGTAAAGAGTTTGATAATGTTATTATAAAATACGTTTATTGGGAGATTACCAATAATTAACGGATAATTAACCCTTGTTAAACGCTATATGCATAAGTATAAAAGTTACAACCATTTATGACTACCAACATAATTCAAATTTGAAATATGAATAGATAAGAAATATTAAAACTCACTAGTTTAAAGATGCTTCTTTACAAATCCACTTAATATGAGTATCACAAGATCTATATAATGTTAAACGCTTGAAGATCCGAATTAAAAGATATGCGGATAACGTTTTTGCATTAACGTTAAAACAAATTGCGACATAGTACGGGTAAAAGATATATATATTTAAACTGACGTGTGTATTCGTGTGTGACAGACAGTAATGACTTGTTAGATATTTCACAAAATGAACTCGATTGTGTCTCAACCAACAAATGGTATTTCATCTTCAAAGTTTATGAACCCTCTTCCTAAAAATAATAATTGATTGAAATTACATTTGCTTAAAGGAGCTTTAGTGAGGTCCAAAAAGTGTGAAATCCTAGAATTTAAATTTTTTGTACAGATCAACTGGCTTACATCAACTGGCTTACTTAAAATAAATCAAAATCGTTTCTTTTTTGTTTTTTTTTCCGGTTTTTAGCCCGATTTGAGTTAAAAACATTGTAATGGTTTATAATTTTGGGTAATTTTAAGCTATAAAAATATTACGGAAAAACGGAGTAAGGCAATGATCTGAAATTTTGCACATAAGTTATTGGTCTTGTCCTTAATCAAATGAGACACAATCTCGGGATAAAAATCCTGCCCCTGATTGACAAAAAACGTAAGTAGAGTCTCTTTAATCTTACAAACTAAAATGGTATCCAGTCAAATTTAAACACTAATTATTGAATCTATCTGAAGTAGTAATACCGCTAACTATCACAATTCCTATAACATATCATTAAAACACAAGACTGCATTTGTGTTGGTAGTTGGTTTGCGCAAGATCGTAATTTAGCCTTTTTGAAACAAAAATGAAAAACACAAAGATACAGTACAAGTTTGACTGTGTCGTATTTTGTCGTTATTTTTCTGTCTCTCTCATTATTTTGGATTATGTGACAAAAAGGCGGATATACGTGCTTTTCTTCAAACTGACGATTGACGCTCGTGTTAACGTATCAAAATTATCCTTATGGAGTTCGTCAATGATAATTTTCAAATTGATAACATATTTTTCTTCACATTATATTACATACTTATAAACTTTAGCTGATGCTCTAACATTCATTTTAATGTGTAAACGAGGTGTAAATTACACGATCGTATTTTGAATTTATTTCTTGTCAATTATGCAACAATTTTTATTGCATAGCTGTGATTTTTGATCTCTTGATATATAAAATGGTTGTCGATATGTTCACACAGTTAAATCTTCTACCATTGCTATTAAAGTTAACATTATGCAAAACAATGCGCTGTTAACCGTGTTGGCCCATAAAAATTGATGCATAAGTATATCGACGAGCCTCTTTAACGAAAGGAGACCCAAGTTTAATTTTTAAATGCATTCTTTATTAATGGTATTATTTAAATTACAGAAGCGGATTATTCGGTTCGTCTAGTAACATTATATCTTATCAGAACGGAGAGCGACGTTACTGAAACAGGATAACTTGAACGGCACCCAGAAGGGTACTTATTTTTTTTGGTTATAGTTAAACTACGTAAAACAGAGTCCCCTAACAACGTACAAAACAACAAAATTGAAAATGTTGCAGGCTCGATTTGATTGCGCCTGTTTATGAGCGGTACTGTTACTTTAAAGTTGCCGTCCATGCCCATCCCTAGCACCGGCTTGAGCAGAATACAAAATTTAAACACGAAAATGATGAAATTTTGAATTAAAGAACATCCGGAGAAAGGTACACTAGACCACAGAAATGATATTTTTGCATCAATTTAGAGAGGTAGACATGTCTTAAATAATGATTTTATAATAGATTTAACGCACATTAATTGTTTAACAGTGAGTGAAACTGAAGTAAATCAGTTTGTCACAAAGGTACCAAAACGTAACCAAAGTAGTATTTTACTTCAATACAAAATACGAAGCAAAAGAAGGTCAATACAAATAGCCAATGAGTACTTGGGGGATTGTATTATAATGCCTCAAATTATTTAGGGCTTTATGGACCATAAAGTCATTGCGTTGCCATAAAAAAGTTTGCCCGGAGTATTTTAAGTATTGATAATGCGGAATTCACAAACTTAGACGAAATTTTAAATTGTAATTTCCAGAGCATTAATTATTATAATGCTTTTGTACATACTGTGCGTAAAGTTATTGCAAGTTTTACATTAAGACCAAAAGGCCAATTCAAGTCTGTCTTTCTTAAAGTAATAACACCGTCCGTGCTTTGCGATGTGTCCTGTCCTGTTTTTGTTTCGGGTCCTACTGGGCACCTTGACAGTGGTCTTGTGTTACTGGGTCGTGTGGGGGTTGCATTCACTGAACGCCGCCCGTCCTTTTTCATATTTTTCCACTTTTAAATATTTCATTTGCATCCATGAATTTCTTAGCTAGTCTATATCGAAGTTACATATGAATGGTCGAAATGATAAAAGACAACACAAAAATAGTTAAAGATAATGTGTATTTTACATTATAGTAATTAATGGAAAACAATTGTACAAAAGATTAAAAAACAAGAAATATATAAAAATATAAAAAAGAAACTTCTTCTTTGCATTTAACATTCAAACACATTGAGTAAAAAATGCTGAATCCGCACATCGTATCACCTTCAATAACAATGATACATTTGTACCGTAAAAATACATAATATATGTAATAACAGTAAATTAATATCATTGTTGCGAAAATATTATGTTGCGTATGTGAAAGATTAAACAACTATATATATAAACAAATATATATATGTCTTTTAGATATGATATATCGACAAAGTATTAAAACAGTAATCAGTGTACAATGATACTTTGTATATGTATCTTTGTAGGTAAATGTTATAATGTATTGTTCAACTTTATTGTCCTTGCTCTCCCCTTGCATTTGACCCTTTAATCGGTAAACGTTTTGATCTTCTTGTAAAGTTTTTAATGACCTTTACGAATGGATAATGAGGTGTCAGTTTAACTTTGTTTAACAAACACACTTCACCGCCGATTCTTCCACAATGTTTCAGTAATTTCTTTATACGTACAAGTGGAAAATAACAAGACTAACTCCGGAATTAAAGTTATTTGGGATTTCCCAGCTAATCATTAAAGTAGGTACAAACTAACCTTTTCAGTTACAGCTTCGAAAATAAGCGAAACATGTTGTTGATTAGGCTATTGTGACGGGTAGTGCACCGTGAAGCTTTTACTGTAAAAGTTTGCTTGTACCACATATCCAGCATGATAACTTGCGCGATTTTAGTATCTTTGAGATTAGTTTTTTTTTTATTTTCCGACAAATGATAGAAATATTAACTCTGCATTATCTGATATGTTAGTCTTGAACAAGAACGAAAAATTAACTACAAAATAAAAATATACATCGTCAGCTCAAATGTGTGTACTGATTAAAATTAACAAAATATAAATCATAAACATAAACTGTTAATTCAAAATTAAATCTTGCATATTTTACTCGCAATAACGTGTATTCGTTATCAATTTAGTCAATATCATGACAAAATAATAAATGGAATATTCAACAAAAACAAATAAAGCTACAAGCGTTTGTTTGATAAAATACATCCTGTAAGATTCAAAATAAAAAAACATAAAAACAAAACGTTTAATAAATCAATTCCATCAACAGGATATTATGCTGCATTCTTGTGAGTTTTTGTGGTTAAATTTCATTCACATAGTATGAAATATTATGCATTCAAAGCATATGATATTTTTGCACACTTTTTCATTTCAATATTTGCCATTTGCTTGTTCTCTTTCTTTTCTCCATGACTCGTATGTAAGAACAGTTTTATCCTTGATCCATCTCGACATGAACCAAGCTCTGGTAAAGGCCTCTTTGTCGTTACAAAGGATTTGATTCCGTATATCTTCTTCTACTCTTCCCCCCCCCCCCCCCCCCCTCCCCCCCCCCCCTCCCCCCCTCCCCCCCCCCCCCCCCCCCCCCCCCCCCCCCCCCCCCCCCCCCCCCCCCCCCCCCCCCCCCCCCCCCCCCCCCCCCCCCCCCCCTTCATTGTGGAGCTTCTGTCCCAGTAGGCAAATCTGTGAAATCAACATAACATTTTATGCAAATCTGTGAAGATTCAACATAAACATTTTTATGCCCAAATTCTATAAGATCAAACATAACATTTTATGTAAATCTGGAAAGATCAACATAACATTTTTATGCAAAAAATAAACTGCCAAAGATCAACAATAACATTTCTATGCAAATCTGTGAAGATCAACATAAATTTTTATGCAAAATCTGTGAAAGATCAACATAGCATCTTTTTATGCAAATCTGTTAAGATCAACATTAGCATTTTCATGCAAATTTAAAAAGCCTTTTAAACTTTTTTTTCTCAATGTGACCAAAATGAGCCGTGCCATGGACAAAAACCAAACATAATTGGGTTTGCGGGCCCCCCCATATATCCCCGCCCGTTGCGCAATTCCCCGCATTTTTATCAGGGTCCATTGCTGTTCCTTTCACACCATATAATATTTTAAGAAAAATGATAAAAAGTTTTGGCCCGATTTAAAACTACGTGGATGCGCAGGGTGGGTTATCCAAAGCCCGGTTTCAAAACCAAATTTTATTTTTTTTGTTGGGCGCCGGGTCAATTCATTGGCCCCTCGTCGGGGAGTTAAAATTTTAATATCTTTCAAAAGAAATTGGGTATTTTTATTGGGGTTTAACCCCAAATTTTTAAAAAACAAAAGTTTTTATGCCCAATAAAAAGCGGCCTTATTTATAAATAGTCTGCCTCATACTTTTTAAGTATTGAACATTATCGATATATTCCGAACGATATTATAGAAATTTCCATTGGTCACGTTGATAATTGATGTTTTTCGTTGTAAAATATCTAATTGATTACAATTTTGTCAAAATGAAATGTTATTTTGATTTTACCTATTTACTGACTTTATACACTTTGATAGGCATAATCTCACTTTAAAGAAATCTATTTTTTTTAATTTTAGTCCAGGGTATACCATTCTGACCAACTAGCACGCTTATAACCATCAATATGTTTTTATAAAACATTTAAAGGATGGTCGTTAAGTGGGTACCTTACATCTAACTCACATAATTATTTGAACAATTACAATAATAATTTCAAATTATGTTTCCTTAAATAAAGTGCAGATTAATGCACCAAACTTTAGTAAAAGATATCTACATTTCTCACAGCATGAATTTCATACCGCTTTTTTTCCCATTTTTAAACATTGTGTTGTCGAAAATCTGTATAAATGAGCCGCGTCCACAAAACCAACAATCGTACGTTTGCAACCAGTATGGATCCAGACCAGGGCCTGCTTGTAATAGGGTTTGGTAAGCGAACAGGCATGGATCCTGGTCAGAATTGCGCGGATAGCGCAGCTCTGCCTTGATCCATGCTGGTCCGCAAACGCATTTATGTTGGGATGTTGGTCGTTGAATGGCTCATATAATTTTTCAGTTGCAATTACGTGACCGGCTGGCATTTTGTGAAGGATCTGCCAGTGGAATATTGGAATTGTATCCTTTCTGGGGCTCTGGGTTCGCTGGTCTGAAAGATAAACTGGATTTTCTATGGCAAATACCTGATGGCACCATTGTGGAAAGAAAGCGGGTAGCATAAGGAGAACCAGATTTAGCCATATTCCTGTTAAAGGGTAGCATGTTCTTTGTTCAGATCATATTCTTTCAATGACGTGCTGTAACAAATATTTTTTTTGAGGTTGCCTTGTAAAAAATTGTTTTACCTTTTTTTGAAAGGTACACCAATTTTGATCACAAAAAAACATGAAAAACGCCAACTAAAATAATTGATTTATGATATTTAACAACACAAAATTGCATGAGTCTTTAGACAAATAATGTCTTGAAATCTAGTGATGCTTCTATAAACATGTTATTGTTTTAAACGTATCTAATCAAAACGTTCTCGACTTGTTTGTTTGCTTGATTAGGATTTACGTCAAACCGACACAGTATAGGTCATATGGCGACGTTCCAGCTTTAATGGTGGAGGAAGACCTCAGTTGCTTATCCTTGCATTATTTTCAGGCCCACAACGGGCACCGATGTTTCAAAAGCTAAAGCTAAATAGCTTCTCCCACATGAAAGAATCCAAATTCCCTGTCGGAATTTGAACCCACAGCATGGAACAGGCTTCTCCATTTGTCTTAACAAGAATCAAAGGACTTGCTTATACACAAATTGACCTCTGATTTCTTTTTACTCCTTAAGACTTAAAAACCTTTTTTATGTTGAAAGCAACATATACCTTTTATTAAGAATATTAAATATTAAGGGTGTTTGGGTGATAAGGAACAATCAAAGCAGGATTGAAATTATCTGTTTATATTGGCTGCATCTTTCTTATTTTATTTAAGCATTCATCTTGCATATTAATACATACATTTAAATATATTCAATCAATTACATACGAATCCTTAGCGTTTATATGCCTGTATTAATGAGTGCATTTTATGCAAATGCTCCGGTTTTAAAGTTTAATTTTTAAAAAAAATGATTTATCAAAAAAATACACAAAAATAATAAATTTAAAAAATACTGGGCAATTTTCAATTTTTATCACCCAAAAATTTTTAATATACAAAACGTTTCGTTAAAGACAACAAAAAAATATAACGGGAAAAAAAATTTTTAACAAGAATTTCCCTGTATACAAAGAACTTATAGGAATTTGGAATAATAACTGACCATAAGGAATTGAATGAAAGTTCGCGAAATCCCCATTTCAACACTTTCCTTGTAATATATTAAATAAGAGAAAATCAACCCGTTTAAGACATTTTGAAGTTTGAAAACTTCTTTAAATGGTGTCAGAACAGTTATAAAGAAACATTGTTTTTTGTTAAAAGTAACACAGAAAGCAACATGTTTATGTCCATTAATTCCAACAGTAAGAAACTCAACAATTAAAGACTTAACTTTTGTAGAAAAGAGAAACATTTAAAATAAAATGACCGCCAGAAGCCGAAAATTACTCAGATAACATGTAAGAATACATGATATAAGGTATTTGAAATAATTTTACACTTTTACACATTTTTGTACACAAACGCAAATATAACGGGGAAAAACAATGATGTCATACCAGGACTTGCTAGTTATACCCCTAAAAACAAAAACAACAAAATGCGTGTGCTTTTATTTTCAATCTCAAAATTTTGTACCATTAGTTTTCATTTACTTTTTTAAAAACTATTATATGATAAACACACGGAAATCCGATATAGAACTGACTTATAATTAAAAGCAACAACTCAATAAAACTTCAGGTCATTATGAAAATGTGACAAGTATTGTGAAGTAAATTTTAGACAGACAGACATGTACATGAAATATGATTTATGTAAAATATAAAAGAAAACAGGCGCATGTTAGAAATACATGATGATCCTGTACAAATGATGTAAACCAGTTAAAAAAACACTGTAATTCTTTAATAATTTTTGTACTAGTAATTATTTTACCTTCTGTACAAAAATACAATCAAAACCACGAGTGCAACCACAATTAGCACAAGCACCACAAAGCCGGCTGCAACTCCAGATGCCGGAAGTCCACCGTCTTGCTTTTGTTTTTGGGCACCACTAATTGTTACTGTTTCTAAAATATAATACGATTTACTTATAATTTGATTAAATCAGAAATATGTCTTATAGAGTTATTGTTGCATTTGTTGTATTTTTGTCCTGTAAGATTATGTTAGTCTAAAAGTGAATGAGGTAAAATTTAAATGTACCAACATCTTAAGACCACGTCAAACTCTTGTGCTCAATACTGAGATCAAAAATATTTATAGCTTATAAAGACAAATACACGTACGTAATGTTTAAAGATATAGATAATTGAATAATTACCTAGACAAACCCTGTCTTTTGGCTGAATTGCCCATTGTCCGGTTGCACCACATGTCAAATTTGGATGACTAGCAGAATGCTTAAAGCCTTTGTCGCATACGAAATCACATGTTGAATAAATAGCGAAATTACAGGGTTGTTGTATGACTCCATTAGGTATCAAAGATGGACATTTTGCAACTGAAAACAAACAATCAAAAGATGTTAACGCAAAAACATGATAAGCTTAATAAAGACATGAAATATGTTCTTGATACGATTCTTTGTTTCTAAAAAGACCTTCTGAAACCTTTGCAATCTAAGACGACAATCCTAAAATAAAATGTTTGCAGTTTGTTACTCCATGCTCTGCCAGATAAAAGACTACAATCGCAAAATATTATTTATAAGTTTGGCTTGCCTTAACGTTTCACCCACACGTTAAATGACATATGGCGATTTTAAGGTTTACTGGTGGAGGACAAACTGAGGTGACCCTCCGTGTATTATTTTAGGCACAAACGGATACCGGAGTAGAACCACCGACGTTCCTTATTATCTGTTGAGTCGTTTTTGATACAATATTGATTAAGCCATCGTGCTTATGATTCCATTTAAATCACCACATAAAGTAAATAATCCATTAGAATTCTTGAACATGTGAAATTATATTTGTTTACAAACGTTTCATTGCTTACAAGAATAACTAATTCGGATATTTTTAAACCTAAATATTGACATTCAGATTCATTTAAACAAAAGTAAAACAGACATAAACATAGTTTTATAAGACGATAACCAATAAAAGTCATTTGTACGTACCAAACGAAATGTCGTATTTTTTAAACGTTTGTCTTTTATTTTAAAATGATCAAATCATTGCTGTCATGTGTCATATTTGTTTTTTTGAATTACAAAAATCAAAACAAAGAAAAAGAAATTTATAAAATAAAGTAGCAACATACCTTTACACGAATCAGACGGATGCCACTTCCGGTCACTTTTGCACACTGTCATGTATGTTGTGTTGACAAAGCCTTGATTACATTTATACATGCATGCCTCACCAATTTGCTTCTTGCATGATGGAGCCACCATTCCGTTTGATAAACTTGCATCGTCACACATAGACTCTGATGAGATAATTGATAATAAACCAAATCCTAACATAAACGTCTACAAGTGTTCAAAACACAGAAGGTATGACACTTTAATCCTTAAATTTATCATAATTGGATGAAATGATTATTGAGTCAACTGTCGTATCATATATTTTAAGGATAATGCGATTGAACAAACTTATTTACTGCAAATGCATTGTCAAAAAGATCCTTACCTTTACACATTAAAGATGGCGCCCAGCCCGTAGCAGTGCACTTGACCTGTGATTTCTTGTCACTTGGTGTATAAAATTTATTACATGTGTAGTCGCATGTAGAGTCGATTGACCGATCACAATTATCACCGAGTTTACCATTTGAAATCACTTCCGTGCATTTTGCAGCTAAAAGATGAATTCGAGGATTTACAACCAGAATGCTTTCTTTAAAAATCGCCTAGAATGATGGCAATACAATAGTTGACTTTCGTCTTAAAGACTAAACAAAAAATGTTAACTAAAGACTTCACAAATACAATGATTTGCGTCACGACAAAACCAACATAATGCGTTTGCGACCAGCATGGATCCAGACCAGCCTGCGCATCCGCGCAGTATGATCAGGATCCATGCTGTTCGCTATCATTTTCTCTACTTGCTATAGGGTTCGTAAGCGAACAGCAATGATCCTGATGCGCAGGCTGGTCTGGATCCATGCTGGTCGCAAACCCATTATGTTGGTTTTGTCGTGAAGCGGCACACATTTTTTTCTGATTTTTCATGCATGTACATTTGTTATATGAGAAACATCAAATCTTAAACAAAACATATATTAAATTTCACCAGACTTTCTCGAAGTACTTGAACTCGGTCAAAAGAAAAAAACGTACATTTTAATGAAAATAAATGATTTTTTTTGAAAAAGTCACACAAGACTGCTTAAAATGTGCTTTAGTTACATGTACTTTAGCACAATATCTTAGTAATCCAACATACCCCATTAACAAGAATCTCTGTAACTGGTGTATTCTTGTGAATTGGAAACAAAAATGGCTTTTTAGAAAAAATCATCTAAATAAATAATTTTAAGTTATTGTGTTAATATTTACGTTCACACAGCTCCTCGTCTGGCAAATGGTAGGTTTCATCTGAAGTACATACAGCATTTTTTCTGGTCTTTGTAAATCCTGTATTACAAGTATAGTCGCATTTTTCACCAATCTCTCGTCCACATGTGCTTGCAAGTTGTCCGTTTTTGATAGTCTGTGAACATCTTTTTTCTAAAAAATAAAAAATAAATATATCAAAGTTATTTCCCATGCACCTGTTATTTGATTTAAACAAATTACTTTAACAATGAAGAAAAAAAAACTTATATAAATAATTTACTTTAACTTTGTGTTTCTTGTACATTATTAAACAATCGATGTGTGTGCATACAATAAGACTAGCTCTATCATATAAAAATGTCAACGAAGTATGAAACAAAAATATATTCCCCGGGCGTAAAATGTAAAAGAAAAAATATCCCGAAAATGATAAAAACAGTTAACCATGCAACATAAAACTGAAGAAATTAATGCAGGTAAGCCTATTGAAATTATGAGTATTGCCATGCATTTAATTAACGAAAGTAATTTATCTAATGTTTGACACTTTAACACTTTGTGAATATTCTATCTGATGCTGGTGTGGATATGTACAAATATTAACAAGCATTGAAAAGAAACTGAAAAAAATCAACAAAACCTCTTCACACGTCAACCAATGATATCAAAATTGATTGTTACAAATACACACGACAACAACAACTGCTTCGTACTTACTATTTGGGTCTTCTACAGGGAGAGCAATTTTGTGTAGAAAAAAATATTTTTCGAGTATATGATTTCATTTAAATGCATTAAGTATTCATTTCTACATACTGTGATTTCAATTCAATGCATTAAGTATTTATTTCTGCATAATGTAACAAGACGGGCTCAAATTATCTTTTAAAGCTGCATGGCTCCAAAAGAGCCAAAATATTTCAAAGTAATCAACCTTGAGAAAAATGTACTAGATTTTAAGAAAAAGTAAAACTTTTCACAATTTAAGAAATAAATAACATGTTATTTGTAATTAATGACTGATTATGCAGTATTTATCACCATATTTCTACTCAACGTTGGATGTCGATGTTTAATATTTCCCCCCAGAACCCGTGTTCGATGGAATAAAAATAACCCAAAAATCCAACCTAATTGGTTTCGACCAACATGATCCGGACCAGGCTGCGCATCCGCGCAGTTTTTGATTCAGTGATCCATGCTGTTTCGCTTACAATACCCTATTATCAAGTTGAGAAACTGATATGCAACAGCATTTTACTGATCAACTGCGCGGACCACAGGTTGTCTGGACGCCATTGCTATGGTCTCCAAACCCATGCTGTTGGCTTTTTCAGTGACGCGCTCAATTATATATGACCTTATGTTTGTAAATTTTTAAAAGACTTCATTGCATATGCATAAGTGTAAACACTTTTTTTTCCCTTTACTACATTTACTTTTTAATTCTGTTTTAAAAATGTTTCATAAAATAGCTAAAGAACCTGGACGTTTGTTGCTTGAAAATAAGACTTTACAAAAATATGATGTTTAAAAGGAAAATGGGTAAAAACACTGCCTCAAAATTGTTATAAATTATTCTAAATTAAAACATGGGAAAGCAATCATAGCTTTTTACTTCATAGCACAGGTAACATATTCAATGCCATGATCAATCATAATTTCTATTTTATAAGAACGTTAAGTTTACTTCGCAACACACATATTTTAGTTGCATATTAAAATTGAATGAAAATGTATTTAAAGAGAGCGATTATCCATATTAAAATGATAAAATATCTTTAACATACCTCTGCAAAGAGGAGTGGAACTAATTTCCTTGTTCCATCCGGCTTTTGTACACACAAGTGGAGTACTGTCAATAGGAACGTAGCTTTGTGGACATTTGAACATGCATTTGTCGTCGAGATAACGTAAGCAAGAGGGTTCGAATGTTACGTCAATAGTACTTGTTTTATTGGAAGACAAAGTGACCTTTTGTTGAATTACATTGGTGCACTGGTAGACTCAAACAAAAATAATTATTTAAATTAAAAATTCGCTCGTCCATAAACAATAGATGTGATCGTAACAAAAAAACATTGAATTAAGGTCTTTTGAAAAATGCACTTTCCCGGCTATTTTTTTAACGATGTACAAAATTTATTTCGAAAGGAATAATCCTTCAAAATAAAAATAATAAAAAACAAGTTTTCAAAACCAAAATTTGGGTTTCATTGCGTTTTTTCGGGAAAGGGAAACGAGAATACAATTTCCCCACAACAAATTAAAAAAAGAAACAAATTTTGTTACAAAATTAACACGGGTTGCTCCACAAAATATGATTGAAAAACAAAATACAAAACGTTAAATTTTTTCAAAATTTCTTTTTGGAAAACAGTCTCACGAAAAATTGAGTAAAAACCAAAAAGTTAAAAAATAAAATAGGAAAAAAGAGTTTTCAAAAAGGGAAAGGGGCGACTTCAATGGACCCCGTTAAATAAAACGCAAACAAAATAAGCCCCCATCAAAAAAACAAATGTTTCTTTTGCATAAACATACCAATGAACAATAAGGTTATCCCGCCTATGGTTACACACAATTTATACTCGTCATCCCAATCTAATTTCCCCTTTATCGGATGGATTAATCTTTAAGACTAAAAAGTAGTTGATAGTTTATGCATACGTACTGTCTGAACAGGCTCGGCCGTCAGGTTTCAATGAAACACCTTTCTGACATCCACATGTCCTTCCCGTCGGCGTCGGAAAGCAAACAGTGCTACAATCCCCAAGCCCGCCTCTAGCTTGACATGCTTTGGCAACTGTGAGTAATTTAACCAAAAATATCATGCAATTTTATTTATTAGGAATATTCAGTTTTTATGAGTTTCTTTATAATTTATGTCGGTGAAAAACAACAAAAATATACATAAAAAGCCAAAACTGATTTCTGGAAACTAAGGTGAAAAAGGAGACAAATAATCTTTAAGTTAATTTTAGTGTAAAATCATAATATCAGATATCAAATTTGTAATTATGTCTTTGGGAGAATCTTAATAGAGCGGTATTCCATTTCTAAAATCAGAAGATATGATTTCTTTTATGATGTGTAGAAACGAGGAAGTTGAAAAGCTTGTTTAATATAAAAGTATATTGTTTGATACTTATTATACAAATCATACAAGTTTGTTGTTTGTATCTCCATAAACATACCTGGCTGAACATTCTTGTTTGTACTGCTATAGAACGCAATGGTATCCAGCTTGCCCAATGCAGGATTCTCACCAACTTTTTTTTCTGCATACGTTGAAAGGTCAAGGCGTACGACATGACTAAGATAACAAAAAAAAGCTTGAAAACCAATATCAGTATCTTTGAATACTCAGCACAATTATGATAAAACATTATCCATTTAAAGGGGTATTCAAACGAATATAAAAATGTATAACATAAATACTAGAATAATTTTCTAAGAGAAAAAAAAATGACATCAAAGGTCTCAAGTTTATTCCAAACGCTATATATAGTATAAGCATAATGTTTCAGGTTTTAACACCTTCACAAACTATAAACCGAACATCTTTAAAAAGATGCATAATATGTATCTCAAAAATGAGCATCGGTAAAAATTATATGTGAATTTCTGCTGCACCAGATGTGAAGTATAACACCAGATGTGACTGTAAAAATAGGACAATCGCAGGGTAAGTTTTCATCGTTTTAAACATTCATTTAAAATTCAATCCTTTTTCTAAGAAAATCAAAATGTGATTCTACCCTCCTGACTCTCCTCTATATTACCCATTTTTGTTTTGGATTTCTATGCAGTCTCCATCGAGATATTCCTTCCGTCGTGGGTTCTGGTGTGTCCAATACATGCAATGTGAATGGAGAAAATGTCACTAAACGGACTCAAAAAACAAAGATTTTACGAAATCTCACTACAGACCGATGCTTAACATTCAGACAAATCCTGATTTAAACATTTATTCACATTTGGCTGCTCAAAATTTTGTTTGAGCTTCATATGTGCTGAATGGATCCATAAGTGATGTAGAAAACCATCTACAAAACTACGGACCGCCTCCATATAATCATTAAATAGTCAATGTCTAGAAACAATTTAGGTTTCGTAGCTTTGGCTTAAAATTCAAATATAAAATAAGTGTGTTTGATTACCACTATGAAAAGGCTTACTAGCGTATGCTAGCATTAGAAATACTAAAAGGCCCGAGTACATGAAAATACTGACGCAGAGCGGATAGTACTCGTATGATAAACAATTCACTAATAAAGGATACGCAACTTGGACAAACAAACTAAAAGTACTGAACTTTGTAAAGCTATCATGTCATATAATATGTTTCTATAATAATAATAATGTTTACATTTATAAAAATATCTATCACTTAAATATTCCAAAAGTTATAGATAAAGTGACAGACTTTTATGTGGAAATCTCATGGCCAGGTGCGACATCAAAAGTTTTTCTTTACAGAATATTGGCCGAGCACATTTTCTGTAAGGATGCCGACACAGGTCATGATTATTTTTACATAATAGCTGAGTTCAATATATCATAACTGTTTTATCACATGAGAAACAGAAATGAGAATTTTAATAAACATAAAATTTCAATTTATAGTTGGCTTCTCTTTATAAATTTAATTCTCCACTCGGAACCTCGATTACTCTTTATGTAACTTGTCAATGACCAATATTGTAAACCCAACACCATATGAGCCAAATGAATCAGAAGTATGCTTGGTGTTTCTGATTGGTTGGATGACCAAAGACACAGAAAAACATTGCTGTAAATAATTGGGACGCGACAGTACTACACTAACCGCCGTTTCATCAGCATTTTTAATGGCAGGCCTTGACACTAACATTTTTAGCAGGTGGTACGCCGGACCACTAGATTTGAAAGTTAGGTGGTTCTTCCAGAAGTTAGGTGGTCAGTTATCATTACTATATCATTTTACTGCAAATGTAGAAAAAAATGTTTAACCTTGATGGCAAAGATGTATTATTAACCTTTAAAGAAAACAGATATTTTTAGATATATATTTTTCATCTAAATAGAAAAGGGAGAGCAAGTCAGTAGGTACTCTATCGTAGAGTTATTTGTTTGTTTGTTTTTATCTCATTCAAAAATACACAACAGAGCTCTTATTTATGTTAACTTTCATATTGAAGTGATTTCTCCCTCAACTCAAGTAAGGGAATAGTGAAACCATTTGTGTCTGTTATTTTCTTACTGTTATTCAAATATTCATTGTTGATACGTGGTACATCTTATAATCATGACAGTAACATAGTATCTTTTATAGATTAACATTTTAATGAAACTAATAATTATCTTATTCTTGTCTTTGAAACCAAGAAAATATCTAAATTATTAAAATAATAACAATGTAACGTTATGTATAACTGTAGTTTAGCTTATTTTTCTCACAGATTTATAATACAGAAGTTTTACCTCCCTGTTGCTTGTTGGTTGATATTCATTTTTTACATTGAGTATTTTTAACCTTTTAAATTAATTTTAACTCTAGGAGAAATAGATCTCTTGTCGTTATACAGTTAACATAAAGATAAATAGCAAAGAATTACTAGATGTATTTTTTCCAGATCATTTCGTTTGCTGCCGTTATTCAAGTATCTGAAATTAAGTTTATCCGATATCATATAATTACCATCATCGAATACTCACGGTTGATTAACATGTAACATAACATAAATGTTAATGGTTCCGCCGTCGGTATCCGACGATGCATAATTACTAGCACCATTTGAATGAATTTTGTACCTAAATTAATATCACAAATTCTAAACTCTTTTAACTTGCAAAACAAATTTTAGCGACTTCAAATGAAAGTTATCGATGACTTAAGATCTTCTTTAACTAATCAGAGATTAATGAACCATATACATGTACATCTGACACAAGATTTTAACAAAATCATAAACTGTTTTTGACCAAATCGCCATTCTTCCAAATGAGCTTTGCATCAACCAGAAAATTCAAGTGGTCCAACGGACCAGTGGGTTTTAAAATTAGCTGGTCCTGCCAAATTCAAGTGGTCTCGGACCAACGGACCACCGCTAATGTCGAGGCCTGAATGGCATGCCAAAAGATGGATTTTTAAATTTATATCAGTTACAGAGCAGGCAAAGAATAAGTCAAATAGGCGTTGACCCATAATTGCAACTATGGACATGAAATGAACCATGTAAATATTATGCAAGGACGTTTCTTGATGTGGAAAGTAAATATGCAAAGTTTTTTTTTTGATATTTTTCAAAAAGTTTATCACTAACTTTCTTACAGCGTCATAACAAATTCAAACACGATTCACATTACTCCCCTATTAAGCAGACAGTGCAGTCGAATGAATAATTAGTTAATTATATAATGTATGACGGCATAAAAAGGGAATGATTGCAGTACACATGACGTCAATAAATCAAAATCAACAAGGCCTTCCCACCATATTTACGTATTTTCAAAACCTTTCGTATGTAGAATGTCTTTTATCTATTTCTATATGGATACTATGTTACTCAAGCTCGTCTCGTGAAAATGTGTCTATTTCGGATAATGATGTTTTTATTACAGAATAATACACAATAGAATAAATTAAAGATTGCTTTATGAAAGTGATGCGTAATTATGTTGCATATTATTTATATTATGCACATATGGATCTCTTCAGCACATATTGAGCTCAAATGCAATTTAGAGCAGCGATTCCTTCGTTTGTCGCCAAATGTCAATAAATATTTAAACCAAGATTTTTCTGAATGTTAAGCATCGGTCTGTAGTGAGATTTCGTAAAATCTTTGTTTTGTGAGTCCGTTTAGTGACATTTTCTTCATTCACATTGCATGTATTGGACACACCAGAACCCACGACGGAAATTCACATATAATTTTTACCGATGCTCATTTTTGAGATACATATGGGGTTCCAACCCCGTGACATCGGTGCTTTTATATAAATCAAAATAGTGACGTACTCTCTATGATACGCGGAGTAATATAGGTAAGTCCCGTCTGTTTCCAAATCCCTTATTTGTTCATCACGGTATGTACTGGTCATGTTTTTAATAGTCTTACAGTTTGCTCCATCAAGATCACATTGTTGAATCGTGTCAAAAGTTGCGTCCGACCAGTACAAGTGGTCATCTGTAATGATGAAATATTTTCTTTTTTTGGTGACTCGTTTAAGAAGAAATCATTCATTATCAATGAAAAAAATATATATAACAAGCAGGTTAAATACTAAATGTGCTACTTGTCTAGTTGGCACACCTCTAATAATCGATAAAAACACTTTTTTTAACGTGAACATCAAAATATTGGATAGCCAATGACTTTGTTCCCACTGCACGCTAAACATGCACAGACAAAAAAATGCAAGGACGTGGATATGCGAAATAGTTATTTTTTTATAGGTACAAAGGAGTCAAGAGTAAGTATCATAATTTTAATAACAACTATTAGGTCCCAAATGAATAAATTATGCATCTATTTGAAGTAAGCCAACCAGAAAAATAAAGAATTTTTGAAATTGTTGATAGTATCATAATTGCTGATTTTGTAAAGTTTACAAAGTTAACATAAAAAAATCAACAAAACAACAACAAAATACTACTTTACTTACGCAGATAATCAATAGCCAGACCATCCGGAAAGTCGACATGGTCTCCTTTTATTAATTCGACAACATTGTTCCCATCCATGTCTGCTCGACCAATATAAGCCTGACCCCAGCCGGTTACAGTGAAATACATCCATCTGAATTTAGTAAGATAATATTAAGAACGAAATGGAACATTTTTAAAAAGACGCCAAACACATATATACAAATTAAAAATGTTGAAGCCTCTGATGGTTTACTTGGGACTTTTTTTTAGACAACAGTAGTAGCGGTACAATAGAAAATGGTAGCTTTTAAAAAAACGTCAAAAGTGGTAGAATTCGAAACTGTTGAAGATCCGATACGACTGAACTTGTTCATGGAGAATGACGGGGAGTAAAATGCATCGACAATGTCGTAACTCAATGGCAAGCGGTGTATTGCCCGCCAGTAAAGGTATTCCTGTTCCTTAAATGATAGAAAAATGAAAACCGGATTGCTTACAGTATGATTACTGATATATCTGTTTGGTCTTCTAGCTTCTAGTGTTATAAAGGTAGACATAGTTTACTTATCAATAAACTGAATGCATAGAAAATAAATGCCTAGAAAAACTGCAAAGAAACATTTACATACTAATATTAGTTACAGTTAATTATACTGATGAAATGAAATATACCCTTTTCCAGGATGCACAACAATATCTCCGAGATCGTCATATTCAAAATCATAATCAAATTTTATAAAATCTCCTTTGTTTGTCAGTACACCAATAAAAGTGTCGTAGTATGCAGTGAAATATAAGTTCTTAGTAGTCATATCCTTGTTAAAGCGGTAAGCATATCCGTCATATCCTGAAATACAAATAAAGTATCTTGTACTGGTGTTAAGTTTACATTGCTGTTTTATCCTGAAATAGAAATAAAGTATACTTGGAAGGTTTAAATTTACAAAGCTGTTATATCCTGAAATACAAATTAAGTATCTTGTATCGGTGTAAATTTAAAATAGATGTCATATCCTGAAATACAAATACAAATGTAAAGTGTAAATGATACATTGCTGTTATATCCTGAAATACAAATAAAGGATCTTGTACCTGTGTAAATTTACATTGCTGTTTAATACTGAAAAACAAATAAAGTATCTTGAAACCTGTGTAAATTTTACATTGCTGTTATATCCTGAAATACAAATGAAGTATATTGTACATGTTTAAATTTACATAGCTGTTATATTCTGAAATACAAATAAAGTATATCACTGATGTAAATTTACATTGCTGTTTAATCCTGAAATACAAATGAAGTATCTTGTACCGGGGTAAATTTACATTGCTGTTTAATCCTGAAATACAAATAAAGTATACTGTACATGTTTTAATTTACACAGCTGTTATATCCTGAAATACGGATTTAATGACATGTACTCGTGTATAGTACACACAGCGTTATATCCTGAAAAACAAATAAAATATCATGTACCCATGTATGTTCTTTATCTACACATAGCTGTCACATTATGATATTTAGAACACACTTTGTAGACATCATATGCTTTAAATAATGTCAAATACATTTGAAATTCTCGTTAGTTATTACATTTGTTTTCATATTATAATTAACATATTGAACCAAACATTCCATACTTTAAACATGTTGCAATTTGAGTTCAGAAAATGAATGAACTATTTTAAAATAGTATTACCAAGATCGGAAAGAACCTTGAGGCCAGTTCCATTCAGATTTGAACTCTTTATCTCTGAATCATAATACTCTGCCCAAACCATTTTCTTTGTATCGGCGTCAAAATAAACACCCATGTATTCATCATTGTCATTTCCCGGAATAGCTGCTATTCCATCAGTTTCGAGATTTATCTGCTGCAGAGCCTCACTTGTCCAATCAGCAACCAGAATAAAATTATCGTCGACAACAGCTGAAAGATTTTTGTTGTATACTTTATATCAGATTTGGATTATTTTGATTCGTAAATGAGACGAATGCCTTTACGCAGTAAAACTGAACATATTGCAAGCTCGGTTTGAAATGGCGCAATAGACTCTATGAAATCAAGCCTAACACATTTTCAATTTTGCCGATTAGGGGTTTTCTAAATGGATCTTTATCATATTTGATTTTATGTATCAACTGCGGACAAGGATGAAAGAAACATCAAATTTTGTTTTTGAACAAGTATACAACTTAGTAACATTATAATTTCATACTAGTTCAGTCACATGAAAACAAATGCTTTGGTAAAATATAAGTTTAATCATAATAGACTATTTTCATTATGAAGCAAAAATTATTGTTGCAAAGATAGAAGTTACATTTTCGTTACAATCTGCTCTAATACAATACACGAGCCTGTTGTTAAAATTTAGTTCTTTGATGTTTTTGTGTTATTTAGTTACTGTAACTCTTTATTACAGTAATCCTCTTGTTCTGCAATTCTTTGTTTTTCGATTAAAGTACTACTATACCGAAATTATTCCTAAATACCAAATAACGAGCATGACTTCTGCAGAATTTTCATTGCGATATTAGACATTTATGGCATGAAGAATTATTGCTTGCATCGTGTACAGTTACATCTCCATTTTTTGGCCAAATTTCTATGTTATGCAAATCACAGCGCTTGTCATTAGTGAAATAACCATTTAATTAAAAAACACAAAAACAAATAATTACTTGATCTACAGCTGGTCATGTCAGGTCCTAGGCTGTATCCAAGGCGACACTCGCATACTTTAGTCATGACGTTATTTGTATAATGTGTAATACAAATCTGAGAACAGTTGCCATTTTCATAAGCACATGGACCTGAAAAAAAGGTATTTTATACAAGATTTTCACGTTTATCTCAATACAAAAGATAAACGCTGATTACATAATTACATGTATTTGGTTCTTTATGAAAAACAATCTGAAAAGAAGGGGAAAACTTCAAATATATAAAATGACAAGACATTTTTTTCCACTTAATTTAGTGAAAACAATGAATAACAGTGAATAATCGAGCATCTCTCTATGTGGCGTTGAATTTATCAGAATCAATTAAACTGCCATTATTCCATGAATAAGAAGGTATATTAAACTAAAAATCATATCTAAAAAAATAATGACGTGTTTTCGGTTGTACGAAAAACGTTTGTGAATTTCTAACAATTAAAATGCAAAATTGATAAAACCAGTATTCTTTGAATAAGTATTTTGGTAAGACTGGAAGAAGGTCGTGCCGGTTAACCGTCTATGAACAGGCTCAATGAAATCGGGCGTGTAACATTTTCAATTTTGTCGTTTTTGGCGTTCTATTGGGATCCTGTTTTTCTTTATTCTTTTGTTTGTATAAGCGACACATGCATGTACTGGAGTCACTGATTTATCATACTTTCTCGGCAACAAGATACTTACTAATAAGGTTTGTGGTTTGAAGATCTATATCTAGAACATTAATATCAATCAACGTGGAGTTATCAAAATATCCTAGTGCGTTACTTGTTTTTGTCGTTAAATCGTATGTTCGAATGAGATGTTTATATGACCCAGCTGTGAACGCCCACGCTAAAAAGTTCTGGTAAGATGGAAAGAAATAAAACTATGTATAAGTAATACTTTAAATATTGAAGTTATATCATTTTTAAAGCAACACGTACAAACTATGTTATCGTTTTGTAATCTCTTCTAACACATTAATTTTTCTTCAAAATAATATCATCAAAACTTGTCAGTAACAAGAATTGCATTTGTCAAGATATGCACTTACTGTTTATAAAACAAGGTGCAATTTCCATAAAATCCTACTTTATCATCTGAAAATAAATCTTACTTTATAAAGAACAACGTAAAATACGTTGCTATCGAAAATCTGAAAAAATTCTAACTTTATAAAGAACAAGGTGAAATATGTTGTAATTGATTCCATAAAATGCTACTTTAGCATCTGAAAAACAAATCTTACTTTATAAAGCACAAGGTGAAATATGTTGCATTTGATTCTATACAATTCTACTTTAGCATCTAAAAAAACAAATCTTACTTTATAAAGAACAAGGTGAAAAATGTTGCTATTGATTCCATACAATTCTACTTTAGCATCTAAAAAACAAATCTTACTTTATAAAGAACAAGGTGAAAAATGTTGCTATTGATTCCATACAATTCTACTTTAGCATCTAAAAAAACAAATCTTACTTTATAAAGAACAAGGTGAAAAATGTTGCTATTGATTCCATACAATTCTACTTTAGCATCTAAAAAACAAATCTTACTTTATAAAGAACAAGGTGAAAAATGTTGCTATTGATTCCATACAATTCTACTTTAGCATCTAAAAAACAAATCTTACTTTATAAAGAACAAGGTGAAAAATGTTGCTATTGATTCCATACAATTCTACTTTAGCATCTAAAAAACAAATCTTACTTTATAAAGAACAATATGTTGCTATCGATTCCATAAAATGCTACTTTAGCATCTGAGAAAAACACAACATCTCTTACTTTATAAAGAACAAGGTGAAATATGTTGCCATCTCTTCCATAAAAAACTACTCTATCATTTGTTGCATTTAGATTAACACTGCGTATGTTTCTCCCGGAGACATAATAGAACCTGAAAATAAAAATCAACAATGTAATGATGAAGTACGTAATAAAATGCAAAACTCATGGCTTATGTTGAAATAACAGTTAAGATAATATATAACATAACATAGAACTATAACATAGATAAAACACAAATAACAGTCATGTAAATGTCAATACGTGTATGCAAAAGGTGATGTCCTCAAGGTTAAATTTCAAAAAGGTTTCCAAAATGTATTTATCTATACATGTGTTATGACTGAGGCTGACGTAAGTGTACATCATTTTCATCTATATACTAGTTTCATTGGAACCGAGGTTTTTTGTTGTTGTTTTATTATTATTATTATTATTTTGTTGTTGTTGTTGTTGTTGTTGTTGTTTTCATGTTATGCTTTATCAAATGTAAGAAACAAAACAGAGTGTTGCGATTTCTCTGTAGTTATAATTCTGTTGAATTTATGATCTCTTCTCAATCTAGGAAAAACGTATGAATTAAATATAATTATTAACGGTCAATAATTATATAGCCTCCGTAAGGATATTGTTATATTACTACAGCAACTCTAATTCTACTAATCTATATAATAACAAGAAACTGAATAATTTAGAACGTGTAAGTGAGTACTTAAATAGATTACTTTCTTTGTTCCCTGTCATAGGCAAATGCTGAAATATCTGTTACTTCTTTGACGACCACTACCATATTACTCCCATCAAAGTCTATTGTGACAAGAGACATTGCCCCTGTTTCACCAGTGATCATTGCTAAACGCCTAAACAAAAATAAACATAATTTTGCGTAACTAAATATTCCGACAAAAAAGGAAAGTAATATAAATTATAAAGAAAATACTATCAGCTATACACGGCTATCGTCAAGGGGCCAAGCAGGGACATGAATTATAACCGAAAGACACAAGGATGGGGCAAGGGGAGGAGGTGCCAATTAGGCAATTACTGCTAATAACCAACAATTCAAATTTAAAAAAAATGCGGTTAAGTTCGGCTATTAAATTTATATTACAAGAGTTTACTCAGTTTTATTTTTGTTTTTACTAACAACAAAAGTGTCCATAAATGTTTGAAGGAAGTCTCAAACTAAAGTGATGTTACCTTCGTTCTAGCAGGACCATCAGTTCGCGGGGTTTCTTCATCACAAGCGCGTCAACTTTGGCAGCTGCTTTTGTTCCAACATTTACTACCCTTATATGTCCAGTATCATATTCGCACCAATAAAGGTTCTTTCCGTTAACGGCATCAAAAGCAATACCTATAAGGTACCAAAACAAACAGTCAAATACAATATGTTTTATACAAAAATGTGATATAGGGTGATCCCTCTGAAGGAATGTAAACAGCAAAATCTCTTGAAAATTGCAGATTGAGTATGTTCATGAGGGATAATGGAAAACTTTCCTCACGCATTTGAGCGTCTTCCTCTTCTTTTATTACTATCTTATTTAGAAACTGGAAATGCCTTATTTGAACATACCTTCATAAAAGAAGTGGACAGGCTGCCTTCACACTCATTAAAACTTATCTAATAATTAAAATGAAAAGTATTTGAAGAATAAATTACAAATAACTTTAAATTTTTAAGGTGGTTTACGTGATTGGTAATGAAGTTTTATAAAACGACACACAACATATAAATATAATCCGGCGTAGCGTAGCCATATCCTGTACAGGATGCGAGCAGACCCTTCAAATGCAAGAGGTAAACTTTTCTTGACTACAAGGAGGGAAAATGGCAAATGCTGTTTTGCGCCCTTCATTTAAAACAAACGAATTACGTTTTGCATAAATTTGTAATTATTTTACTTACCACTAATGTTTCCTGTAGCAGATGCTATCAAATCTTTAGCATCGTTTTCTATTGGCAGGTCTATCGGTCGTTTATAGATTTTATTGTCAGCCGTAGCGAAATAAAAATCTCTACTCTTCATATCCATATCAAATTTGACTATAAGGTCACCCGGTGCGGCTTAAAAGGGAGAAAAAATAAATAAGAAAGGCACTACAAAGCCTTACAAATTCGCAAAGTTCTTTAAGATATACTAGTATGATGCTCAAATTTGGTATCTTAAAATATTGGTATTCTCCTTACAGTCTTTATGAGTCCACAGAGAGCGGATATGTTATGTTATAAACATTTCACACAGTTTGAATACAGAGTGTCATTTCATTAAACTGGCAGTAATTGTTTAAGAAAATATCAAATTCACTTGACCAGTTATAGAAAATGCAGATGACCCAAAAAATTTCTCTCATTTTGAAATAAGACAAATCTAGTTAGAAATTCCTAGATTTAAATGAACTATTATAATAAAAATACTTTATCGGAAGACTGAAGAAAAACATAAAATATTGGTAGACTAAATTAACTTTGGGTGCATGTACTAAGTGGACATTGTGTGTGTGTGTGTGTAGGTACATGTAGTTTCTTGCTGTGAAACGTTTAAAACCGTGTGACCAAACACTTTTTAAGATGACATTCAGGTTGTTTGTTTTTTTGAAAGGTAGTTTGTTCACTTACCAGTTGGAGCAGGGGTAGTTAATACTGGAGGAGTTGACGCGTTTGGTGGCGAAGTAGAAACTTTACCAGGAGTTGTATTTACAACTTGTCTCTTCTTCCTTCCTGACGGAGCCGATGTAGTGGTCACCTTAAAATAAATTTGAGCCGCGTCATGACAAAACCAACATAATGGGTTTGCGACCAGCATGGATCCAGACCATCTATGCGCATCCGCGCAGTCTGATCAGGATCCATGCTGTCCGCTTATCAACCCTATTACAAGTAGAGAAACTGATAGCGAACAGCAAAGATCCTGATCAGACTGCGCGGATGCGCAGGCTGGTCTGGATCCATGCTGGTCGCAAACGCACTATGTTGGTTTTGTCGTGACGCGGCTCATTTATTATATACTTATAAATGACTTATTGAGAAATATTGATGAAAAAAATTCGTATTTTCATTTTCCGTATTTTCACTGTAAAAAATATTTTTCATTGCAGTGAAAAAAAAAAATTCTGTATTTTCACTAGCGTTTTGCTAGACTACTTTCTTCTAAATTGAGCCAAATACACAAAATTTAAACGGAAGTCAATCAAATCAAAATGTCTAAAAAAGAATGAGAAACATGTATATAATAAACAAGAAATTCAAGTAAGTGATATGAAAATATGAAAATTATCATATTTCATACCACTCGATGAAAATATATTATGTATTTATAGAACAAACTTGAATATCCTCTTTATTTTTTAATGTCTACAGATCATAGTTAACAAATCAAATCGAAATTTAATTTAGCATAATGTATCGATTTATTGTGGACTTCGGTGTTGTTGTTGACAAACATGTTTTACCTATGAGGATTAAAGAATCTTAATTATTCATAAATATATTGTTAAGCGAGCATATCCTTTAATTAAAAGCAGTTTATACTGTTTTAAAAGAAAGGAGTCATGTAAGAAAAACAATTCGCCTTATATAATTCATGCAAATATGTTTATAACAAGTATTCTTTACAAATTAAGGTTGATCTCTCGGAAGCATTAATGAAATGAAACCTGCAGACTCAGTTTGATTTAGTCTGTACACGAGGGACAATGAAAATATGCTACATCCCTCACGCCCCCTAGCACCGGCTTGAGCGATAGTCAATTTCAACACTTAAAAAGTGAAACAATGGCCCCGAAGGACCAGAAAAAGTATAACAACTCTGGAGTGAAGTAACACTTACGGGTGCATTCTTTGGTTTTATCGATGTATATCTACAGACGACATCGTGGTTCGTATGTGCGAAGGCGCGAAGGTCCACCAGACATATATGTGTCTGATTAGCGATAACAAGCGCCTTACGATAATCCAAATAAGATGCTGAAATTTTATATTGTAATATTTATAATGAAATGGGTAATGTAAGAAAGATTCAGGGTAACATACACCGTTTTTATTTGAATTGTTGTTACTATTAATATATAAAATTTAGTTAATAAAATCTTAACTAAACAATTAGAATAAAAGCAAAATTTAGGTTATTTATATTGTATATATGCATACTTTTTTTGTTTCATTCGTATACATACATTTTAACTTTGTCATGAAACTTCAAATGCATATTGAGATAAAAATATAACCTATACCCTTGTATAATCTTATATCAAGTCTCAGTCACGAATCATAAGATGTAACCCTTTTGTGGGCTTTACATGACCCAGCCTTACTGTGACTTTTATTGTTAAAGTAAACTATATTATATTGTATTATTTTCAGCTATTGTTGTCTGAAAATAACAATTTTATAAACATTTATGACAATGTTGCTGTGGCAACCGATTATAATATACCGAAATATTTGGCTTTTTGATCGCGCAATACGTAACATAAATTTGGCATGCAATAGTCGTATAATTGCAATATTATAGAAATACTAAGTTTACAGAAACAGCAAGCTAACCTTCACATTGACCCGTCGAATTTAAATGATATCCCTCAGAGCATAAACATTTGGCACCAGTTTTTGTCAGGACACACATATGATCACACTTCTTCAAGGCGCAATAATCTGAAAAAATATATATACATATTTCTTTTAACCAAATTAAAATAATGAAACAATATTGTGTTTATCTAAAATGGGAAATATTCCAATAAACAAAACATCAAATGTGCACGATGTGTTGCTGTCGTGGGTTCATGATTTTTTATTTATTGAATTGTTAATAATAACTCCCCGTCCATGCTTTACCCTTGTGCCCTCTGTTTTTGGTTTGATGGCAAAACGGGGCTCCTTATCGATAGTCCTGTGTGGGTTATGCTTTTATTTTTCCTGTTAAGTGAGGCTTAAATTAAATGTTAAGCTTTCTTGTGGACCTTTCTTCTTATGTTTTAGGTAACAACAGGTCAATTGTTTAGTATAGAGTTTCATGCATTGTTTAAATGTATACAAAAAGTATAATACGTAGATTGTTATGACACTATTTATATGTACACATACATTAAGTTATAGATCCGTTATGGCCAAGAACCGTTTTTAAAACTTCATTTTTTGGTCCACATATATTAAGTTATAGGTCCGTTATGGCTAAAATGTTTTAAAACTTCATTTTTAATCTTATGTAATAGTTTTCAAAAAGTAAGTAATTGGTCAATCATCTTAATCATCTTTTGCTTTCTTATCCCAGTTGGCAATAAGTATACATGTAGTTCTCTTTTTGGCAATTTGTATAGTAATATTGTTTTAATATTTTGTATGGAAGTCAAAATACTACTTAAAGGTAGTTTACATTTTGCTACATTTATGACAAATAATTTCATTCAGCGCTTCTTTCTTTAGGTGAAAATCATCTAGCATGTCCTTTAACATATTTAATTATTTTAACATTCATATTTTCTCTTTCTAAAGAATGAAATAATTTTCGTTTCTAGGGTATAATGTGCCTTTAAATTTGATTTATTACAAACCTGTTCCATTTAATGGCGGTTGTTTCTCCTTGCCATATACAGCAATTCCGTAAATAGTCTCTGGGAAGATATTGACCGTTGTTGATTCAAGTTTTCCCTTGTGTGGACCATCGGTTTTGTTAACCGTTATCAAGTCACTGTTTCGTATATCAGTCACATATACACATTCCTGTAAAAATCATTATTCTTGAGAAATAGATATAGAAATCAAATATTTATTATAAACATACATTTGGCAATAGAATTTGACAGCTTAAAGATACATGAATGTGAAATGTAAATTGAACTGTAGAATGATGGTTTGCAAGTAGATGTATACGTAACAGTTGGTATATGATGGACTGTAGATATATAAACTTTAGTCAATAAACTACATATGAACAATCTTGAAGACAACATTTTGCAAATATTGCTCCCTGAAGAGATACCCAAAATAACAGTGGTTTTGTTTTTGAATTAGAACCCTCTCCTTGGTTTTGCTTGGTTTTCCTTGTCGGACGTCATGTGTTTCTGGGTTTTGTTTGGGGATGCGTGCCTTGAATGCCACCCTTCCTTGTTGATCTTTGGGTTTTTTTTTATATTTTAAGAGGAACGTGTATTCCTTATAAATAAGTTTCAAGCTTTTAAATGTGTGCATCAACTTAATAAATGTGGGCAAATTTGGGGCCTAGTGTTAACCTTTAACCTGTGGAATTTGTGGAATGGATTTGTTCAGCTTTGAATTCTTAACTGCACATTCCATTTTATGGATTTCAATATCGTAATACAAAAAATGGGCTTCGAACAGTTTAGAATCTGGCCAGACTGTACAGGTGTGGAGCATGCTAGTCTGGCTCTTAAATGGTACTTTATAGTCCGGCGGGTTAAGGTTGGATACTGGACACTTGTTGTGTTTATAGTACTGAGGAACTTTCGCCTATTCAGTTTCAAATTCTTCAATATAAGAAAGTTTTAGACAGCAAATAGAATGTGCAGGTACATACATATAAAATGTAAAACATCTTATCGACATATGCTTTGTTTTAAAAGAAAAAGTGAGAATCGAAAGGGCAGTATGGTAAGTGTCACTTCCAATAAAATAGATTTAAAACATTAACCATATGTCACATAATCTACCGAGATAATATTGAGTGCATCTTACAAAAAAAGCCTTAGGGACAAGAAAAAACGATCGTTATATTCAACTAGTAATAAAGCGAATGATAGTTAAACGTCTTACTTGGAAAAGTGCTATATCCAACAAATTAGAACCTGGAATCCTTTTTATAGTATAAACATTTCTGCCATCATAATCAGACGTTGCTATGGTTTCGTAGGCTGCATCTATCCAATAAATTCGTTTCTCAAATATGTCCACCTCCATTGATAAAGGTGACGAAATGTCTTTCCTTACAATAGTCCTTCGTTCAGTCCCGCTTGTTGTTGAGCGCTCTATTTTAGGATGTTTCCCGTTGTCCGACCAGAACAATAATCTAAAGTACAGAGTGGAAATGAAATGCTTAAAGATCAGAAAATAGAATTGTGTATTTTCTATGGATTTAACTCACTACAGTGCTGGACCAGAACCTCCAGGCGTTTGCAGAAATCATGTTCATAAAATAGAAAAAAAAACGCTTTTTACACTTTCCATTCATTATGTTATATAAATCGTTAATAACAGATAAATTAGGCATCTTAAAGTGTATTTCAATGGGTGAAAAAGCGAGATTTAAGCATTTAATTATTCAAGCATATATTGTCCGATAATACCGGAATACGACATTGTCTCACTCATTTACTAAAGTAGCGATATGATAATGAATGAGAAATTTTACGAAATAAGAGATTCAAACTTAATGAAAGGTCAACACACACAAGTGACTTAAGAGAACCTATTAGATTGAGAAAATGAAAGAAATAATGAAAATCTAAGTATACTAACTGTGCCTGTGGATCAACTGCAAGCCCATCTGGGGCATCTAAATGTTTATCAACAATAATCTTGTAATAATCATTGTCGACCAAATTAATGTCCGCAGGTGCTCCGACTATCCAACGGAATACAGAATCACTCCAGTATACTATATGTGTCATCCAATCAACGGCAACTTGAACTGTCCCTCTAGACACACCAACATGTATAAACTTGAAGGTCATTTCACTAACATTCAGAGCTGTGTTGTATCCACAACCAATCGCTATTGATCTGTGTGAGGAAAATTACAATTATTAATATTGTATATTTCACTACCAAGATTAAGTAAAAAGGACATATGATATGAATGTAACACTACTTTAATATTGCATATCAAAATATATAGGAGATACAAGGTCAGATTATAAAAGGAATCTTAGGTTAAAGTGCAATACACACCAACGTTTTGTAAATGAAACGTCACATGACATAATATATAATAAGGCACAGGGTACATGTCATATATAACGACGTTATTTTGGCATCGGTTTTTGCATCAAAATTAGTCAGACATCATTAATGGCTAATGACTTTGATATACATGACGTCACCAACATATTTGTACTGTGTGTAATACATCATTAGTCCTTTCGATTTATATAAGGAACAGAATTTTTTTTATTGCACTTTACTTCGTTTAACACGGTTTAATTGATTAACATCTAAATGATATGTTTTAAAGAATATCACTCAAAAGAAACAGATAAATTATGATATAATTCGAAAACGATGAAGCTTTAGTTAAAGGCCTCTTGAAATACGAAAATAGTTTGTTTTAAATTTACCTACCTTAAATGATAGTCGTATAGATATATACATTTAGTCTGGAATTCGTAGTCAATACTTAGAAAATGAATATTTGGGTTGGAGAAAGCAATTCCTGGCACTGCTCCTGAGAAGTTTTCGTATCCCAAATATATTTCAAGATGACGTAATTGGGCGGCATTTGGGTCACCATATTCGTGCATCACCGTCATTATCATACCATGTTCTAAATTAATAAAATGGATGATGATATCACATAAATGTTATTCATCAATATTCAACACTCTTCCCCCTTATTTCATATTTGTACGTTTATTTATAAATTTCAAGGATGTTTCTTCTTTTAAGGGGCGATGATATATTAATACGCAATTATTTATTATTTTCACTTTTTGCCAAGACAGCTTCTACATATTTCTATTATTTCAAAACCCAGACTGAAAAATAGTTTTTAATATAAGTAAAGTATAATAATTATGCATCCTTTGTTTGTTTATCACTGTTTATGAATCAACAAACGATTGGATGAAAACTTTTCAAAATATTAAAATTTTCTTTTAATATTAAATGTATACTGTTTTGTTGACTTATGAGAACAAGAAAAACGTTAATCACTCAAACCATTATTTTCTTAAGTCTATTTTAATGCATATCGCTACACTGTGCTGTGTTTTAGCTGGATACTGACAAGGCTTGTGAATTTTGTGTTTCAATCTCGTTGCCCTTTCTTAAAACAAGTACTAATTACATAGGAAGGAACTTAGTACGAACTCGAAACCTCTAAACCACTGTTACGAGGTTTAGACGAAAAAGCCACTGCTTCTGAGCTAAATGTAATGTAGTCAATAAATGCAATTTTGAATCTAAATAAACAAAAAAAATGGCAACTAAATTTGTTTACGTAAGTGCTATTACTTATTAAGTTCAACACCTCTGCATTATGAACACCTATTTATCTTTTATCTCTCTATTTATTCATTGGTTAAAAATTCAGTAAAATTTATCCTGAATTTTAAACCACCATTAAGATCCTGGATCCACCCATTTGTACAAAGAAAAGTACGGTGCTAGAGGGCGTGAGGTGAGCAATGCTGTACTTTTTCATTATCCCTCATGTACAGAATCAATCAAAGCGGGTTGGCAGTTTTCGTTAAAATTTGTTGGGATTAATGTTTCCGAGGGATCACCCTTTCTCCAGATCTTTATCATATTTAAAATAAGTAACCTTTGTTTATAGACGTATGTTTGAAAAGATAGCATCATTCATACAACATTATTAGTTTGTATCATAGTGCACCATCGTGATATATTGTTTTAACAAGATAGCAACATCCAATCATTTACATAGCGACTGGTACTCGTTTTCAATTGCATAAATCGTCTGTACTAACGATACTCTGTATAAATAATTTTGGTGCATTTAAAAGGACAGAGTATTCAGAAATCAAACTTTATAAACAAAATAAGTATGATAAAATTCATATCTTAAACATTAAAATTTGTATCATCTTTGTCAGTAAAAATTCTATCTCTTAGAAAAATGAAGATACTTAGAATGAAAATTAATAGGATTTGAATATATATACAAAATCTGTTTATAACTTTATTTATATTTTATTATTCTTTTTTTGTTATTTGCTGATTTTTGTCTTCTTGTTGTTGTTTTAAATGCGGTTATTCCCATTGCACGTTTTTATATTAATCATAAGTGTTTCAAAAACCGCAATCTCCGGTTCAAGGCGTATACAAATAACCTGTTTAACTTGGTATACCCTTTGTGGTGAAACTTCGTGATATTGTAAATAAAAGCAACCATTGATCTGGTTGTGCTTGTGCACAAAATATGAAAATCAAGATATAAAAGAATTCCTTGCCTGTCCCCAACACAGGACCACGGCAAGTAGCCAAGCAGGGCACCAAACAGAACAGGGCACGCGAGCAAAACACAGACGTTAAACTTCAGAAAAAAGTAACCAATGAACGAGCATCTGAATATAACATTTCTGTCGCGTTCCCTTTCTCTGTCGTCACAATAAGTTACTCCAGAAAAAAATAAGCCAATCAATGGACATGTTCTGGGGGGCGGGTAGCTAATACCTGCACTCCAGTTAAAGCACTGTATATTTTTATGTATACGACTTAACTCTAACACATTTTCAACAGAAACGTCCCCAAAATAGGATACAATATAAATATGTGTCCTGTATATTAACATTATGATGGGGAGCTTTTTATATCAACTCTTTCAATAAATCCGTGTGAATGACAGGGCAAAGTTGTTTTTCTACAAAGTTCGATGTCTGTCTGTCAACAGAGAGTTTTTTATTATGATAACATTCGAAATTATGCTTTATAAAAATCATTGTCCTCTTTTTCATGCAAAACTACTGAGTAAATATTTACACAGATATAAACGCCCATTTGCAAACTTTTCTACTTTTTAATACAATGTTTTCTTGAAAGAAAAACGAACATTGAATACATGTAATTCTTATTCCGACGAGATGGTTATAAGGTATTTAAACCCTTTCCAAGCTTAATTTGTTTATAGTACATTTTTTGAATTTTATTTTATAATTTTGTTTGCTTGTTTGTTTGTTTGTTTCATTTTACGCCTTTTCCCAACAGTATTTCAGTCATACCTAGGCGGGTAGTTTCCTAACTATCGTTCCTTGAGAGTTACACCAGTACTACACTACCTTCCTCCGCGCTAAACTACCAAAGCATCTCCCGGGGATCGAACCCACGCCAGAGAGGTAACTGGATAAGAAGTCATTGACTCTAAACCCTCGACCACGGAGGCGGTTATATTATATTATAATTTTGTGAATTTTTCTTTTGTGAAAGAAAGTAAAGGGTTCTGGCTTGAATATGCTAACTTAAAGAATTAATCATTCGATAATATCGATTATATGCATTGATTGTTTTTAGTTTCTAATTGGTGGCCTTAAGTTTCTTATATTACAACTCGATAATGTAGTAAGTTTGTAGATGTTCGTGAAGTTGGCAGCCTAGCGGTGTGAATTTGGCAAGAGTTTGTAGCTTATTTGGTCAATATTCAAGTATTTTATCTTCCAATTGCCAGTACAGGTGCTTTACAATTGAAGAAATAAGCATGGTTGTGAGCTCCCAGTAGGGTTTTGAGCGATGGTTTGAGATCTACAGGGCAGTCATCTTAACAAAAAGACCTTGCCGTTTTCACCAATAACATTCAAATGCAAAATAAATCAGTACGTTTACGGTAGAAAATGGTCTGGTCATTGTTTATGCTTACAAATTAAATTTGAAAATATTGCAATTATTTATGCTCTTTGTATGAAAGATTTGTTTGAACGTGGTAAAACGATAAGTTTCTATCATTTTTATTGTTTTGAAACATTTATCTCAACGATTACGTTTGTTCCCGTGACTTTCAGTATTGTTATATTTTTCTTGTCCTTCGGTGTCATTGATTCCAACAAGTGTTGGAAATTAAGTACCGATCAAGTCTGTGCTAGGTGGCGTGGACCGATGTTGCACTTTTTTATTATCACTCATGTAAAGACTCAATCAAACCTAGTCTGCAATGTTTATGCTATTTTGTGGTTATTAATGCTTCCGAGGGATCAACCTTCAGCTAAAAATGGGAAAATCGTTTAAATTTGCAGCAGTTGCCAGTATGGTCAGTACTTTCATCAGTTTGAAATGAATTGATAAGTTTATCATTATTTTTTATCCCTTTTTCAAGTTTTTTTGTTGTTAAGACATTTATCCGTGTATCTGTATAATTGGAAATGACCTTGATTATTGAACCTGATCTTTCACCTTCGACAAGATGGTATCTTCGTGTTTAAGCAAATATGTATCTAATTTGTTGAAATCCTATGAATTAACAAAGTTATTTCAAACGTTAGCAAATTGTACTTTATTAATGTCAAAAACCGAGCATACGATATATTTAAGTATATTTTAGATGTAATTATTTTGTCTTTGCTTGAATGAAATTTATGTGAAAATATTGACGTTTCTGTTCGTATTTAGAATTATTTGAGTTTTGTGTGGTAAGATATTATTCAAATTTTATCAAAATACCTGCTGTAAAAGCTATTTTCAAAGTCATTTTAGAAACAAAAGGTGAAAATGTTTCATACCGGTAAAATAAGGTGATGAATATAATCTTGCAAAATACACATTTAAAAATTGTTTTAAAAACTCAATGTGTCTTTTTTACGTTTTGTCTGTTGTTTCGTTTCTTTTTAAGAAAAAGATTTTTAGGACTATCGTAGTACTATCTTTGTACAAAAGATGAATTCAGACAATAACCGTATACAGTTTTGTTTAACAATAATTAAGATATAGCGTACGCAATGATATTGCAAACAATGTGTCTTTCACCTCAAATGTAATAAAGTTACTTTTGACAAACACCCCGAGATCACGTTGAAAAAAAAAGAAGTATCCGGTTACATGACTCTAAATGAACAAACAAGTTATGATTGACCTTCAATTTACCGACAAGATATAATTATACTTTAATTAGTAAGTTGTTCCAAGCAGATTATACAGTAATAAGATAATGTCATAATGATTTTACGGAAATTCATAAAGTTATGATGAAACTTCTGACTGGATTGAAGTCATAGTTCATGTAATTGTCAAAACGTTCTGATTCTTAAAACACTTTTTTCCATTAAGAGAATTTGTTCATTCTCTGTATAATATTGAAAACATGTTTGTTTTTCATGTGCATGACATTGCATGTATTTAATTTGATGTTGTATTGCATTGCATGTATTTAATTTGATGTTGTATTTACAAGATACATGTATTGCATACATTAATAAAAAATGTTCTGTTCTGTAATACATAACATCGATGGTAAGATATTTTAGTTCATGACGTTTTATTAATAGGTAAGGACATCACACAGTATTCACTGATTATTATCAAAAAATACATAAGATTCAATATGTTGCACAATGTAATTGTAATGTAAAACTTAAAGTAATGAAATGTAATTGTAACATGTGACACTTACCTCCTGCAAAAGGACTTGGTGGGGTTGTGGAGACTGGTCCAGGTGTCGTTGATGGCGTTACCATCTGGCCATTACAATGTAAGTAAAGTACGAGCACTATAAGTCCGGAAATGCTACCCTTGATTGATGTATGCATTGTCCTTGTGTATATAGAACGATCTCAACACCAACTTAATCGCTTTACAAGGTTCACAATATTAAGAAAATTTCTTTGCTTGCTTTTAAGCTGTTTTCAGCATTTACTTCCTGTAGTTTTTCATCTCTAAATCTATCTGAAAAAAGGAAGTTATATAATTTAAAATATATGCTATGTCAATTGTAACAATCAAAAGAAAATATATTTGTAGTGATAGTTTTGTTTTACATAATTGCATGTGCGACCATGACGTCACAAAGGTAGTCACGAGTATGTCTTACGTCATGCATAATGACACAAAAAGATGCCAAATATCGATTTCTACTCTTTTTAGTTTCAGATCAGATTTATGAGCATCCTGGAAAGAAGAAACAAATAAAACCAGACAAAAAACAAGCCTAAAACTTAACACAAGAAGCAACAAATGTCCATCTTTAATGACACAACACAGATCAAAGTTGTATATCGTATTGTCGTATAGACAACGTGTCACTGCAAAATAAAAGCTCTATTTACTCACAATCTTAAAATATAAAAAAATATAAATGTTAAAAAAAATTAGCAAAATTATATTTATTTTATTTTCCATAAAGACACCTAAATGTGATGAGTGTATGCTCTAATTTGTAGAAATTACATCTTGGCTAACATTTCGTTTTCTATATATTTGTTTCAAGATATGCAAATCAAAATTGTTCATTTCAATCTCTTTTCTTTCTTTTTTACATTTTCTCCGTTACGAACTACAAAAGGGCTATAATTATACCTGTCTATTTTGTAAAACTCAATTTAAAATGATATGGTGTAAGTTTCAGTAATTGTATGTAATGGGATCGTATCATGTAAAATTGAAATGGTAAAAGCTACAAGCTATAATTATATCTCTTTTAATTTAATTTATCTGCCATGATCTTTATAATATGAACGACTTATCATGGAAAAAACGAGTTGCATTGGTGTCGTCAAACATATGTTAATATACAGCGTTGTGACTTGATACTGCTTGTACCAAAATTAAATTTCATTCTAACACACTACATGATTCCCCTTTCAAAGAGATAGGGCAATCAACTTGCATTATTACACGATATGTGCACACCATTACTAAGGAATGCTTACATGTCAAGACGTCAGATATGACGTCACTCAACCAAATGACGTCCTGTAAATGACTTCTACCCTAAATGCAGTTTAACATACTTTCATCAATTCTCATTAGATTAGCACGTTAAAATGGAAATCGATTAATTTTTCTTGCATTCTATAGAGGATATTTGTTTAGTTCAGTGTAAGATCGGAATATATTTCACCGAGTGAGCACCAAAAGGTATATTTCACGAGTGGCGCAGCCACGAGTGAAATATGAACTTTTGGTGTTCACAAGGTGAAATATATTTCGATCTTACACTAAACTAAACAAATTTTCTTTTTATTATATGCAAAGAAACGTTTTAAAAAGACATTAAACCTAATACTGAATGAAAAGCGCGCCAAATAATAATACAACGTGACGTCATTTATGACGTCACGTCATTAAGTTGGTAACCAGTTCTGTGCACGCTGGTATTTCACTGAAACAACGTAAGGGGCTAAAATTCAAAACAGTGAAATTATCAAAGTGGTAATTTCACTGTTTCAAACAGTGAAATTACCAGTTTTAAATCACTGATATATTTCTATAAACCACCGAAAAGCATGTAATAAAGTATAATAATACACGGTAATAGTTCAAATGCTTTGTAATTAGTCACTAAGGCTCATAGACCTTCCTGATTGTAATTCTGCGCATTTGAACGCACCCAGAATTGATATAAATTTCCTTAACAAAGTGTAATATCATTAAAACATTACACGGGAAATTCTATTGCTAGTAAGGCGCAATAAAAGACGATTTCGATCATTGTAAAAAAGTGTATGACATATATTCCAGGCATAGGTTATATCTATTTTGTCGTTTTATAATCTTTGGACTTTCAAATGTAAAATTTTGACCAAATATTTTGTTTCTTAATACTTGAATTTGAAATTTGAATTATAAGTACCATTTAAGACATACATAACAGAAATAACCGGGATGATAAATATAGATTGCCTTACTTTCGCACTTTTATGTTAATGTTTGAGTGCCCGCTTAGCCATTCAAAATGAGAAAACAGAACTTTATTGCCCTTAGCATATAAGTATTTAAATATCTGATTAATTTGAAAGTAAAATGTTTGTAGAAATAAATATTTAAGACTTTTAAGTAATAAAAACACATGTTAATCAGATACTTGTGCTACATTTAAATAGATGAAATAAATTTCAACGCTTATTTAATTTCATTATCTTTCTTGAAGTCTTTTATAGCTTTTTCAAATGTCTAAAATTGTTTTAGACGAGATTTTATATTTGTAATATAACAAAACATGACGCAACAGCAAACTTTAACCGCTATTTGCAAGTCATTTAAACAACTTTTCAAACAAAAATTTATTTAACATCATGGATTACTTATTTGCAAATCTATAAACATTTCTTTTTTAGTCGCGATTCTCCTTTAAACACATATTCATGGTGTATTTTGATAATAAAACATTAAAACTTATAAAGATATGTAACGATAATAAAAACAAAACGCCCCATACTTACAATACAACTAAAATTTAAGCGTTATTTGTAATTGAATAAAAATTGGGCCAAATATAATATCTCAAGCCCTACATTTGGTTAAGAGTTCGGTTTATATATTTTACCGATAGCACATTTAAATAAATAGCAAAATCGTTTAAATGAATTATCTTTCCAATACTTAAGGAAAACTAAAGGCATGAATGATCACTAAACCAAAAATAATTTTAGCCATAATGTTAAATAAAATTAAGCAAAAATATTGAGAGTGTTTATTCAATTATAGTCGTGGCATATGAAATAACATGAACATCGTAACACGAGCCAGACTAATTTGTATGAGGGGACATAGCCCCCCGAGTATTAATAAGATTGCGAAGTGTTTTTGTGTTTTTTCTCTTTACTATGTATCATAGGCAAAAATTAAAAAAAAACACGTTCCCTGTCTGCACTGTCTGTCTGAAACCCCAGAAAAAAGTAACCAATGTACGAGCACCTGATTATGACTTTTTCTATTGTTACTCCTTTCCCTGTCGTCACAATAAGTAAACCCCAGAAAAAAATGTGCCAATGAACAAGTATGCTCAATTTTTGTCCACGACAGACAGCAAGGTAACTGGAGTGCAGGTAACTATCTGCACTCCAAACTATGAAACAATGCACCAATACAACGTTTGAAATTACAACTATATATCAAAATATAGACGGGTAAATGTGCTCACCTTATAGTATCCGAATTTAAGTCTTGTTTAATTCACAGTTATTAATTACATAACTTTTGGAAATGAATTAATAATGCTTTTCAAGTCATCATACAATAGGTTATCTGCCTGAAGTTGAACTTAATGCATAAATTAATTAGTTGAACGAGTTATAAAATTATATAATAGGTTATATATTTAAATCAACCAGTACAATTATCTGGAAAAGGGGTACAGCTAGACGAATATAGTATTATATTTACACCATACACAAAATAAGAACATTTTGCAGTTGAAATAGTAACTTTTTTCATTGACACACCTATAGTGTAAAGTTTACATTCAGCGTGCATTTATTCTATGTTTGTAGAACGCAAATGACGTCACGTCATAATATATGCAATAAATTAATTTTAATCAAATTTCAAAGGAATTCAACTATAAAATCAGATCTATGCATTCGCTTTGCTGTTATAAGAAGGAACATCGTTGTTTTAATATTATTATGAAAGACCTTTGTAAATGTTCTTTCAATGATCGATTAAAATATTATATACATGTATTAAAACCTGTATTGGTTGAGAAATGACACACTAACTTCTCAAATAAAATACTCTCATAATGTCTTGTCAGTATTTATAAATTAAATACTGTATTAATGTTATATTCACAAATTTTAAAACGTAAATAAAATAAAAAATCTGACGGTAAAGCAAAGTAAAAAACAACTTCTTAAAGCATAGCTATAAATTTTGCACTTCAATATGCTAATTTCTAAAATTTTAATTTTATTCTATAAACTATATTTTGAGACACATGACCTGTCATAAATCAAAGATTCACATAGTGTTTATGAACTTCTAAAGCATGACTTTTCTTTTGCGTCGCAGGGATTGGTACAACATGACTTACAACATTAAGAAGGCTGTTGTGTAGGGGATACCATGACTGATGGTGATGTTGGGAATAGGTGAACAATGGGATGAAACCTGAGTTGTGTCGGTCTGTGTCTGTTCATATGATAATGACAAAGTTTTTGCGGTGTAAAAGCCAAGTAATTTGATGGGGGTATATTCAGTTTCTTTTCAGTTTATATTTAAATTTGTTTTTTAACTGATTTAGTAAGTACCTGTGTTTTGTATTTTATATTTGTTTTATATCTACTGTTCCAGTAAAGTTGAAAAATGCGTATTATCTTCGACGTTATATATTAGAAAAAAATATTATGAAATTGATAAAAACAATGAGTGTCTTTTACAAAATCACACGGTCGTGGTAAAGCTGGTTTTAGCATTCACCCTTATTTCTTATATTTAATAATAAAATAGTACACAAACAATCAGTCCAGCAAATACCGGGGGCGGCAGGGTGGAGTATAGCTTATAAAATTACCGGAAGTCATTGTGAAAACAAACAGACTACGGCCGAAAAAGTGGAAAATCAACATAAGCTAAAAGTATGTGCAATTACAAAACATTTCATATTTGCACGTAAGGTTTATTTCGTTAGATATTTCCTAAGATATGATTTTGGTCCTTATTTACATACTCGTATATTATTTTGTAGTAAATAAAGTTACGTAAAATGTATTTCAATAAGGAAGTTATGTTATCTGTTCAAAAAGCCAGCCAAGACATTTTAGAAATTATATTACTGACATCTTTTGTTCTCAAATATGGCAAGTTAACCAACAATCTATGCTAACAATATGTTTAAAAAAAATAAACAAACAAAACGTATCATTTAAGACATAACAATATGAAGTGAGCATATCAAGTATTGCCCTTTTTTTGCATGCATGCATTCATCTTATAAAATGGATTTT